CAAATATCATATTTTAAACAAAATCATTAGTATAAAAATGGCAAATTTGTGGTTACTGTGGCTTTATTATAACAAATACCTCAGTTAAATTATGGTTACTGTAGTAACACCAGGATTAGGCATCATTTAGGTGAAAATAAATAAATAAAGTAATTACACTAAAAACAGAAAAACAACATGCACATACACAAATAAACGCAAAAAATCAAGTAAAACCTTCTCAAACCTTCGGTGGTTTTACCGGTGGACTACAGATCGTCACAGCGCCTCCTACAGTACGAGCGATGGAGTGAGAAAATAACAAGCGTTCAAGGTCGTCTTTCTCTCAATAAAAAATACCATTGAATTACAGTGGCGAATTCTCACTAGTTAATTTATTCAAAACTAGGAGCAAGATCATATGTATTTAGGTTAAATTATGTATGATCTTATTTCTTAATCAGATGTCTGTAGAGCCGTTTCTCGCTCCAGCACAGACGGAGGCGCTATGAGGCTCTTCAAAAAGAGTAAACAAACCACAGAACGAACGAAAGAAGAGCTTACAGTTTGAACCCTCGACCGGTACGTGTTTTTAGTGTGTTTTACGCCATTTACCAGAGTTGTATTTATATTTGTATGTTCGATTTATATGCTTGATCTCTTTACGGGATTATTGATTTCGTTTTATGTATTGTTTTGATTATGTAAGTTAAGCTATTTCCCCCTTTTTGTGTCTCGTGATTTTGTGCCGAACGCTAAACGAGTTTATTAAATGCTTTCACAGAATATTAAAGCGTTCAATGAAGATTACGCATTTCTGCTTAACGCTAGCTCAAAAATGAAACTAAACATAAACGCCTAAACACATTTCTGAATGTTCTCCAAAGTCAAATTTATGTGTAATAATAGATCAGTTCTGCTCTCGTTGATAACCGTAAACAATCATTTTGAGGTTAAATCAGTGTTTATTCATTATAAATGCGTCTTTAATAATCATGAAGTGTTTGTGTTCAGATGTTGAGCATGAAAGCGCAGGTGGATGTGGTCTGCTGTAAATCAGTAGGAACTGATCTGTCCATGCTGGATATTGAGGATTTCATCACAGAAATCTGTCAGCTGAAGAAAGAGGTGGCTTCACTGGAGGCAAAGCTGAGAGAAAGAGGAGAGGTTTGAACAGATCATCATTTCATCTTTCACGTCAATAACGTCTAATTAAGTTCCCAAAGTCAACTGATGATTACAGTGTCAGATTCAGCGGATATATCTTGTTTTCTTCACTCTCAGGATCCAGTCTGGAGTGTCCGAGATCAGCCCACAGAGCAACTCTCTGATCGTACGTCCAGAAACACACAGGACTCGGAGCTCAGCCTTAGTTTGCTCTGTTATACTGACGCTCAGGAGAGCGTGTGTGACAGTCATGGATCCGTTGACCAAAACTCCACAGAGTCTCTGGCGTCTGATTGTAACGCTGGAGAACAGCAGATGCTGCAGACGCCAATGAAGACGTGCTCCGTCAAACTGGTGGACTGCAGGAATTCAAAGGAGACGAGAGAAGAAACCACTGCGGAGAAAGTACAAAGTGACAATGATAATGATGACAATTGTGATGATGATGACTTTAATCCCTCGGGTATGTTTCTTCCTTTAATATATTATCCTAACTGGTGCATCAACAAATGGTTTTACAATTCATTTAAAGTTTCTTCAAGCTTAAGGTGGCAGGTCCACATGGTTTTTGGCTTGTACGTACAATGTTACCGGTAGGAACATGACATGGTGAGGTTTGAGAGCAGGTTTATGGAGATATTTGGGAGTGATCGTGTTGGACCCAATATACACAGACATATATTTTCAGAATTTATATTTGCTTTCATGTTTTGTGTGTTGGGGACATGCAAGTCAAAGTTAATAGAAATCTTACTTTATTCCTCTCAGTTGAAAACACCAGTTCATCTTTTGATGTAGAAATGGCCTCAACATCCAAAGAGCAGCCGACGGCCAAGAGTTTCTCCTGCGTCACCTGTGGGAAAACATTCAGAAAACAGGGAAATTTAGCGAGGCATGAGAGAAAACACACAGAACCGAAAGACTACACGTGTAAGAGATGCAACATCAGCTTTCCTACCTTAAAAGAAAGAAGACTTCATTCAAAAGAGCACAGGGTGAAGAAGGAGTTTCGCTGCGAACAGTGCGGGAAGGTTGCCTTCTCTTCTGGTAATTTGAAAATTCACATGAAGACGCACACTGGCGAAAAGCCTTTCCACTGCAGCGAATGCGACAAGTACTTCAGCACCAAACAATCTCTTCTTGTTCATAAGCGAATCCACACGGGGGAAAAGCCATACAAGTGCCCTCACTGCGAGAGAAGATTCAGAGATGGGTCCCATTTCAAGACACACATGCGTTCGCACGCCAGCGAGAGGCCGTACCAGTGCAGCGAATGTGGGAAAACCTTTAAGCAGCCCATTTGTCTAATATCACACCAAAAAATACACTCTGAGAAACTGCACCAGTGCACACACTGTGACAAACGCTTCCGTCAGATCTCTCAGCTGAAACGCCATGAGAGAATGCACTCTGGAGAGAGACCGTACCTGTGCTCCCACTGCGGGAAGAGCTTTTCCGATCCAGCTCATTTCAGAGTCCATCAGAGAATTCACACTGGAGAAAAACCGTACCAATGTAGTCTTTGCGGGAAGAGTTTCCGTCAACACACTAACCTACTGAAGCACCAGAGGATTCATAGCGGAGAACGACCGTTCAAGTGTTCTCACTGTGACAAGACGTTTGCTCGATCAGACGTCCTGAAGATCCATGAGCGAGTTCATACAGGAGAGAAACCTTACTCCTGCTCCATCTGCGGCGAGAGATTCGCTTATTTAGGGGGTTTTCAGACCCACCAGAACAAACACGCTAAAGAACAAACTGCTCCAGAATCATCAGAGTGACTTTCATCAGTCAGTCTCTGGAAACAGGACTCATTTAGCTTATCCTGAAACTGTATATTGAGTTTTTAATGCCAGTAGGAGGCAGAGTCACATTGAGCTTTCATGTGAATTGGGAGTAGAGATGGACTGAATGTTGAATGCTGTGATTGTAGTCGTGTTTGGCAATGATGCTGTAACTACACCATTCTGCAGCCAAAAAGCACCTATTCAAATGTAGTTATATATATTTTCAGTTTTTTTTCCCCCAAGCAACTTTTAAATCTTTTAAATAATTTTATGATATTATAGCAGATGTTTGCCGGGGGGGGACGTACAATAGCCGAGCAGCTGCTATTGAGATATATGGGACTACTAATGGATAGCTTTCTGCAAGTGTATTAGACCGCCTTGATATGCACTAAGAAAGAAATTGTGAGAAAAAATGGAAATCATTGGTAAATGTAATAAATTGCATGTGATGATGTGTTAACTTGAGACATTCTGAACGTATATTGTTTTGGAAACGGCACACTCAAGCCCTGGAACAAAGGTAATAATGTTTTATTATTATTATTATTTTACGACCAGAATCAAGCAAATATGAGTCTGTTAAATGGGTATAGAATCACATAATTAAGCTTTATATTCTACACCAGGGATCCTCAAATCTGGCTCGCGAGATCCACTTTCCTGCAGAGTTTAGCTCTAACCCTAATCAAACACACCTGAGCATGCTAATCAATGTCTTCAGGATCACTAGAAAATCACAGGTAGGTGAGTTTGATCAGGGATGGAGCTAAACCAGATTTGAGGATCCCTGTTCCACACACACACACACAAACACACACACACACACACTGTGTGTAGAGGAAGGTTGGATTCATAGTTAAATAGCAATTTTGCATTTAATGTTTTTTCAATGCTAATTTCATTTACACTTTATTGGATGGAACAAACATACAAAATAAAAGGCATGTACTTTTTATTTAATAATTGAATAGTCGTGCTGGTTATTATTTTTAGATTAAAGGGGTCATATGATGCTTTTTTAAAGATAATTATTTTGTGTATTTGGTGTAACAGAATATGTTGACATGCTTTAATGTTCAAAAAACACATTATTTTTCAAATACTGTACATTATTGTAGGTCCTATGCCCCGCCTCTCTCAAACGCTTCGTTTTCTACAAAGTCCCTCCTTCCGACAAGCGCAGTCTGCTCTGATTGGCCAGCTGACCCAGTGCATTGTGATTGGCCGAACACCACAAGCACGTGTCGAAAATGTTTCGCCCCTCACCATAATCGCGAGCTTCATCTTTCAAAATAAATGTAAAGACAGAGCCCGAAATGGGAACAGAGTCGCGTGACAGACACAACGATGAAACTGGTATGTGTTTGCAGTACACAAGCCACGGTTAAGACAGCTGACGTGCTATGATTTCTGACAAGCAGTTCACTCTCCTGTTATGTGACCCTGTTCCCCTCACACACACACACACACACACACACACACAGCACTGAAACACACAGCGTCTCCCTGACATGCTGCTTCAACACTAACTGCGGTTAGTGAAACCACGCTTTCTTTCTTTGCGTGAACATTTGGGCGGCGTTATGCAAATCTTCCCAGATAGTGAGGTAGACATGTGGGGGCGTGTTAGAATGAGCCGTTTTAGGGGGGCGTGGCAGAGTCTTAACTTTGATAAAGAATATCTCTTTGGTTTTGAGACTTTAGTCTTTGCAACTTCAGGGATCTTATCTATGCACAATCAGCTTGTAACACTCCAAAGAGAAAGGAAAACTTGAAATCGCATCATATGACCCCTTTAAATCAGTTGAGGATGAATCATATGTTTTAGGGAAGGAGGGACACCTTGTGGTTGGAGTATTTCATATACTGGTAACAGTCAGAACAGCAGCCAAGAAACAACGACGTGACGTCTCTCTTGACATGAGGAGGAATGCAACAGAACGTATTGTAAAGTTTTTCTAGATTTTAGGAAATGTAAAGAACCTTAAATAACATCTTCTTGTAGGCGGAACACATGACAGGAGATCTACAAGTGCTATTGAAAGGGCTAAAGACTTTCAGGACGTGAAGTAGCAGTCAGCTAGAGACTTTTTCTTTGGGAATTTCATATATCACGAACCTTAGAAAAGAATACAAAAATACATAAAAACGGCAGTTTACGGTTTCCTAACATGGAGCTAAAATGGGCGCTTCTTTTAGGTGAGTGGATTTTGTTTTACTCTGTTCACGTGTGTGGTGGTGAATATATTTGTGACATACTGAAGTTGGATTAGTACGTTAGTCAGACTTCTGGGAATATATGTGTCGGAGACCGTAAGAACATTAATGTGTGTGTGTGTTTGTGTTAAAGATTCTCTTCGATTTCCGTTGTAGTAATCTAAAACCAGAGAGACATCCAGCATGTTGTTCACACCAAGTATCGCGTTCATTTTCTTATGCACGGACACGAAGAACAATGGATAGTAAGAATGATAACGACCTATGAGGAAATTATTGTAAAATACTGTGCCAGAGGGTTTTTTCCCCCTAAAAAGTGAACCACCCACACGGATCCTGATCCAGCACATTCACGATCGTGAAGGTCTGATTCCAGACACACCTACAGAGATTTTTTTGGTCTGATTTCCATTTTCCCAGACACTTTCGTAGTCGCATCATTTCTGCCCGCCTTCAGTTCTGTTCTTTGGAAGGGCTTAAATGAGAGTGGAGGCCAGTGCAAACATGTCCCTCACCAAAAGTCATCTGTCTGAAGAGGAATATACAAGTTCTGTCGTCAGCATCTAATACATGCTGCATCGATTATTTCTGACTCGTCACAGAAGCAGTTTGACTATTTAAACAGGAGTTTTTCTTTAAACTTCTTTGTTTTAAATGTGGTGCAAAATGCAGTTCAGAAGAATGCCAGCTTAAATATGACCGTTTATGATTACAGGCATAAGGATCAAGGTTCAACAATTTTGTTGTCTGCCCTCGTAAGAAAGAACAAAATATAGGCTAGTTTGTCAAAGTGGCAGTCAACTGCAAAATAGCAATAATAATGATGTCCAGATTTTGTTATTTTAAACGGATGAACTCTTAAGACTCTTAACTCTTCATTGTATGTAGAAGTAGGCTAAGTTTAGCAAACATTAACAATATTTGGATGAGGCAAAAATCAGCAATATCTTACCACTGAACATTACAGTTTGGTGGGGATCTCTGCTTCTCTCCGTCTTTTGTACGCTTAACATCCCTTCAACCAGACAAAATCGATTGTATTCACTTCTAAAATAAATTATTCAAAAGAGAATATGAATCGGCAAGGCGATTAAAAGGAATAACCGTTAACTTTTAAATATTGAGAACCCGCGAAATCTGTAAAGGAATGTAGAGCGCGTGCGGATGAAAAGTGCAGGGACAGAGAGCAAACGCACGTTGCATTCTTTGTATGTTTCCCCCCCCCCCACAATATTGTTCGATTTATAACGTTCATATCATCATTATAATGCGATTTGACTGCATGCGCATGCAATGTTGTTAAACGTGTAAATGATGTAAAAATTAGTTGTTAAAATGGCTTTTAAAATGTTTAAAATTAGTTGTTAAATGCTCAAAATGTTTTTAATGCTCAAAAATCATGAACAGTACACAAAAATAATACAACCATCCACATAAAAATGATAAACAATAATAACAAAAGGGAGGGGGAGGGGGGGGTGTTTAATAAGTTACAAACTGAAAAAATTCAATAGAGACTTACAGAAGAGTTACAGACAGATGAAGTTTTTAAAGCTTTTTTGTTCTTAGGCAACTGGGTCAATGAAAGGTATTGCTCAAATTCTTTTATAAAAACAAAAAAGAGAGGTCTGGAGTTTGAATATTTGGATCTGTGGATGTGAAATTTTGCAAGGCACAAAATCTGGTTTACTACATAAAACTCTTTCCTCTTAGATTGTTCATACTCGATAAAACCCAATACTACGTTCTTCCAAAACAGAATACATTCATTATAAATGTAACTCTTAATGAAACTTAAAACATCTTTACCAGAATTTTTTAATGTAATGCTTTGCAGGATAGAACTTATGAATTATTTTGTTGGCTGTATGTTTTCCTGTCACCTCCCAGGTCTCTTTCTGCCGTCATGCAGTGGATGTGCCATTGGATATAAATTTGTTAAAAGGAAATGTGTTGGTAATTATGACTTACGTTAATTATTATGTCGTTTGAATAGTAAACGTTTGTCTGTATGTCACTCAAATGAGGGAGTTTGTGTAGCTGTACACAACTCTATAGTCATTACAGTTCAAATCCATCTTTCCTAATTGTACTCATGTGTCTTCTCTCTCTTTCAGATGAGGATGAGTGTGCTGTTTTCCCGATTGCGTGTGGCGGTCACGCTCAGTGTGTAAATACAGAGGGAAGTTACTACTGCACCTGTAACGAAGGATTCAAAGAGAACTTAACTGGAACATGTAAAGGTACGAGAGAGATTGTAGGATTGAGGAGTTCACCTCACTTACATGTACGTTTATAGTTAATCATTTAGCACAGTCTTTAATCCAAAGTGATTTACCAAACATTGTACAAAGCATTTATTTTAATTTTTAATAAAAGACACTATATTTGAACGTCATGTTGACTTTAGCTTTATATCTTATAACAATTGTGTCATTTGTACTAAAATTATGTTTGGCACCAATTTCTGTCAGATATAAACGAGTGTTTCGAGAATGAAACTCCCTGCTCGGCTCATATGACGTGTGAAAACTCAATTGGTTCTTACAAGTGTATTTGTCCACATGGGTACCAGCAGATGGGCAAAGCAGATTGTGAAGGTGAGCGCTATAGTACTGTCAAAAATTAATAATATTGGCTGCTGCCATTAACTAATTGATTCCGTTAAGACATACTCCCGTTTTGGCTAGGTTGTCCATTCCAATTTTTTTTTTTCTCACAGGTTGAGCATTGTAACAAATCATTTAAAAGTAGTTTAGGGTATTTTCATAGAAATAATAAACAAATCGACAGGACTGTCGGTAATGACAACCAGGTTTTGTTTCACTTTTGTTTTTGCAGTTGCATACACAAATATGTGCTGAATAAACATGACGCACTATTTGGGATGTTGTGTGATTGTATAAATACTGCAGGGTTTAGAAACTCTGAGTGCATGGGACGGAAGCCTGAACGTCCCTGGTCTCACTAATATTTGTACATAAACACAACAACACCGCTTGCATCAGCATGAAGCACGTGCATGTCTTTTTGTCCACTGCAGATGTGGATGAGTGTGTGTCCTCAGTGTGTGGAGTTCACAGCAGCTGCTTTAACACACCTGGAAGTTTCCTCTGCGGCTGTTCTCCAGGGTTTCACAGACATGAGAACGGCACCAGCGGCCCCTGTGAAGGTGAGGGCCAGAGTCCTGCTGCTGCTAATAATACTGATCTCAACATCAATCACATCAAATGTGTGTCTAATTATGTGAAAATGACTATCTCATCGTCTTTCTCTCTCAGACATCAATGAGTGTTTAGATCCAGATGTTTGCGGCACAAACGCAGACTGCTACAATCATCAGGGCGGCTACAGCTGTAAATGCCACGAGGGTTACAGTAACTATGGCAACAACCAGTCAAAATGCATAGGTGAGCATTATTCGCTTCATTTTAAATGCACTGATGCATTTTTAGGTTGTTCTATTCATTATGCGGCAGCTGCTGAGAATCTTCAAGCAGTGTTTTTGCTGTCAGCTGTTTGATTATTGTTTTATCTTTACTGTGGTTGTGCACAGAAATGGACTGCGATCAGTTTGAACCCGAGTCTGATGGAGACCACACACCAAAGAAGGTAAAATGTGTACTTCTCCTTAAGATTATTATTGTTAGATATGCGGTCAGACTCATATACTTTGATGTGCATGTGTCGTCTTCTAGTTGAAGCATTTGATGTCACTGTTGAAGAACAGCTGTGAGTCTCTGAATGATCCACATGGAGAACGTTTCACTGGAGAGAAATTACTGGAGGTGAAACACGACTGGGCAGTTATAAAGATCTGACCTCATCCAGTGACCTGCTCCACAAGATGAGCAGCGAGAGATCAGACGATAAAGAGAGAAGCGTCACTTATCAACTCAACTCTAAAGTGGTGACGGCCGTCGTCAGTAATGCAGAAACCAAGCAGCTGTCAGAGCCGGTGACGCTCGTCTTTACACACGTGGAGGTGAAGATACTGACAGACCAGCTTATGACCAGCACAAGATCTCTCTGGAGACCGTTTCTGTTAATGGTTTAACAGTTCAAATGAAAAACTATCATGAAAATGTGTGTTTCCTGTATGAAAACTCAGTATAAAATGGATTATAGCTGGTTGATGACCTTAAGATGGTATGACCAGCTGGTTGCTTGCTTGTCCAAAATCAGTTTGAGCCAACTAAATCCAGATTAGACCAGTAGAAAACCATCTACCATGTTCCAGACTTAAGGCCCATTCACACCAAGAATGATAACTATATTACCGTACACACCAGCAGACGATATCGTCTGTTTATTCTAAGTGCATGCACAGCAGGATTGATTCTGATTGGCTGTCAGTGTTTTTTGTCGTTCATCAGCTGGAAAAAATCATTCTGAAAATGATTCCAACGTTATAATTTCTCTTTGATTTAATCATTATAGCTGTGGTGTGGGCTCTGCAATTCTTTAATACTGAGAACGATTTTTAGAACTATATCTTTATCGTTATCTTTATAGTTATCCTCCTTGGTGTGAACAGGCCTTTACACTGAAGTTTAAAGAGATTGTTTCCTGCCGTACTAAAATGCATTTACAGATTAGAATTTTAAATATGAATTTATGACTCTACAGAAATGTGAAAAAAATATGACTAGGGATTATAAAATGTCTGCAAATTAGTGCTGTCAAGCGATTAATCGCATACAAAATAAGTTTTTGTTTACATAATATTTGTGTGTACTGTGTATATTTATTATGTATATATAAATACACTCATACAGAATATATTTTGAAAATATTTACGTGTATTTGCATGAATATACTTATATTCATGTAGTTTATATTTAATATATAAACATAACATATTTCTCTTAAATGTGTGTATGTGTGTGTATTTATATATATATTAAATAAACACAGTACACACATAAATATTACGTAAACAAAAACTTTTATTTTGGATGCGATTAATCGAGATTCGTAGTTTGACAGCACTACTAAAAATATATGCTTTGTGTACTTGCAAAGCATCTTCAGAAGCACTGACCTGCGCTGGTTTATTTGCTGCTCAGAGCAGCATTAACTCTGTGTGAAGGCAGCTTAGTTCTTTCCTTTTGTGTTAGTTTCCGACCTTTTTCTGAACTTTTCAGGCAGGTGTTCACATGTTCCTCGTTTCCTGAACTCTTTCCGAGACTCTTGTTCTGTCTTGTTCAGGAGAGGGCGGAGTCTGGGGGCGTGGCTTACTCCTGTGTTTACTGGGATGAGGCTGAGGGGGCGTGGTCTGGGCGGGGCTGTGAGGGGGCGGAGTCTAACAGCACTCACACAGTGTGTTCCTGCTCTCATCTCAGTAGTTTCGCTGTGTTAATGGCTCTCTATCCTGTCCAGGTACATCTCTGAGCCAGATTTCACATATTTAAGATTTCAGATTAAATGATGATATTCATCCCTCCATCTGTCTGTTTTTTTCCTCTCTTCCAGGACTCGTTTGATTTGGTGGTGATCACACAAGTAGGTTTAGTTCTGTCTCTGGTCTGTTTGTTTCTCTGTATCCTGACGTTCCAGTTCTGCCGCTCCATCCAAGGAACCCGGACCAGCATTCATCTTCATCTGAGCATCTGTCTCTTCATCGCAGACCTCGTCTTCCTCTGCGGGATCTCCAGCACTCACAATCAGGTGTGTTTGAGTGCAAAAACTGCAGCTAACAGGGAACATTCTCAGAACTTTGGCCAACATTCCGGAAAGGTTCTCTCAAAGTTATGAACAAACATTCTTCCAGTGACGTTAATAGAACATTTTGTTCAAAGTTATCTGCTCTTGAATTATGTTCTCAAAACATAAGCACAAAAACATCTTTAACTCATTAATGGAACATTTGTAGGTGGACGTTACTACGTATTTTAGAACGTTTAGAAAACATTCAAAAGTAACATTCCTGTAATGTTTGCAAAATGGTATAAATGGAATATTGATATTCGCGTAACCAAGAAAAAAAAACATTCTTAAAAAATTAGGAAGAATCAATAATTTCTGAGTAATTTACTGGTATTGTGTGAATAACTTTGTGGATGTAATCCACAAAAAGTAACTGTAATCTGATTATGAGCATTTTAAAAGGTAATATAATCTAATTACGAGTACTTAATGTAGATTGCATGTAATCAGTTACTACCCAGCACTGGTAATACATAAACTAACACTTATTGCAAGCAAACCGGAGAATGATGTGACGTGTGTTTCTCTCTCAGGTAGCGTGTGCGATTGTGGCCGGTCTGCTTCATTTCTTCTTCTTGTCTGCGTTCTGCTGGATGCTGCTGGAGGGGGTTCAGCTCTACCGGATGGTTGTGCTGGTGTTTCACACCACATTAAAACATCTCTACATGTTTGCGGTGGGATACGGAGTCCCTCTCGTCATCGTTGCCGTCTCTGCCATCGCCTTCCCAAAGGGATACGGCACCGATAGACAGTGAGTTTCTGCATCCAGTGCTGTTCAGCTGTAGAAGTGTCTGCAGTAGGCATTATATATCACTCTGGTACGCATTTTGCGTAGCTGGTATGCATTTTGACCTCAAAGTACGCTGGTATGTTTAGTCACTCTAAACTACGCAAAAAAAAAACCCTGGTTTAATTATGAAAATACCCGAGGTGGTTTTAAGAACACATATAAACATTGTCACAGTAGAGTGTTTATTGTCTTAATGTTCTTTTTGAATGTCATAATTCAAAGCGTTTCTGTCTTCTTTTGTTCAGTTACAGCAATATATAGTTGATTTTGTCCATATTAGGGATTTCCTGGAGCGTCCTGAGTTCTATTACTTCTCTGACGCATATGTGGATTTTCTGCGAGGGCGCCCTCAGGCGTCATGAAACAGACATTACATTTGTTTATAGCACTAAATAATGGGCAACCCATACAAATATTACTTCTCTCTCCGCTCGCTCTTACAGACCTGCCAACCTGTACGCGTAGCTGGTATGCATTTTGACCTCAAGGTACGCTGGTACGATTAGTCACTCTAAACTACGCAAAAAAAAAACCCTGGTGATACCTCTGTCCGCGCACAGTACTCAAAACAAGCAACAGCAAAAGAATGAAGAGTTCAACCAATCAGAGCCAATTTTTTTGGTTTTGCTTTTAAATAATTACCGTGCGTTTTATTTCTCTCCAAGCTGGCTCTGTGTGTGTGTGTGCACTGAGATGAGGACACATCTGAGAAAGCAGCACACGCCAAGCATCTTCCCTTGTAATGACTTGTAATGCGGAGCGTTTCTAAACCTGTTGTCCAACAAAAGAGAACATTATAACATGCTTTAATAGACAAATGTGTAAAATAATTTCCTTCCTGATCTGATGTGGCTTCTTATCACATGATGACGCAGAAATACATTCTATATACTGTAATAAAGACTATGTCGATTAGCGATTGATTATAAATATACTTAATTATGAAAATACCCGAGGTGGTTTTAAGAACACATATAAACATTGTCACAGTAGAGTGTTTATTGTCTTAATGTTCTTTTTGAATGCCATCTTTCAAAGCATTTCTGTCTTCTTTTGTTCAGTTACAGCAATATATAGCTGGATGATTTTGTCCATATTAGGGATTTCCTGGAGCGTCCTGAGTTCTATTACTTCTGTGACGCATATGTGGATTTTCTGCGAGGGCGCCCTCAGGCGTCATGAAACAGACATTACATTTGTTTATAGCACTAAATAATGGGCAATCCATAAAAATATTACTTCTCTCAAAAGAGATTTAAAGTAGACATATGATAATAATGTTTTCCTACAGTATACAGAAGTGTACTGAAGTTTTAATTAAAGTGTACTGGAGTTGTTGTTTTTTTATTGCGTTTAAAAATAGCAAAAAAAAGAACTAAACCGAAAACTGTGATTAAAAAACCAAAGTATTTATTGAACTGTGGGCTAACTACTGTTTACTCTTAAGTACTGTATAACAGGAATAAACTCACAAACTGAGTGCAGACCCTGAGTACCAACATATAAATATTTAATGTTAAATATTTTTCATATTTAAATTGATGGTACTCAAAAAAAGTTTTTCCAAGGTTGGCAGGTCTGGTTTTATCAGTAGTTCATATTTAGGCTTCAGAAACACTCCTTCAGCTGCCTCATGGTCAAACATCAACTCAGGAGCTGTAAATCCAGTTGAATCATTCACAGTCTCTGACGCTACACAAAATAAGGCCAGTGCCATTCCAGTATATGTTATATGCAATGTGTTATCATAATAATCTTCAGCGGCGGGTGACGTGTTTCTGTGCCTGCAGTGACTGTAAATGACAGAATAGGAGGAAGAGACAACGGCAAGATCTTATCAAGATTCACCAGTTATAAAATTAGACTTGCAGTCTGACTGCACTTTCTGTGGAAGAGCAAAGAAAGTCAGTAGGGCATGACTGTATGAGGGTTTTTGTCATTATTAGATTACCGTATTGGCCCGAATATAAGACGACCCCCTTTTTCCAGATGTACCTTTTGGAAAAAGGCTTTTTAAAAACCAAATCTTGTTTTTTGATTTGAACTAGACATATGATAATAATGTTTTTCTACAGTATACAGAAGTGTACTGAGGTTTTTTTTTTTTAATGCATTTAAAAATAGCAAAAAAAAAGAACTAAACCGAAAACTGTGATTAAAAAACCAAGGTATTTATTGAACTGTGGGCTAACTACTGTTTACTCTTAAATACTGTATAACAGGAATAAACTCACAAACTGAGTGCAGACCCTGAGTACCAACCTATGAAAAATATTTAACATTAAATATTTATATTTACACTGATGGTACTCAAAAAAGTTTTTCCAAGGTTGGCAGGTCTGCTTTTATCAGTAGTTCATATTTAGGCTTCAGAAACACTTCTTCAGCTGCCTCATGGTCAAACATCAACTCAGGAGCTGTAAATCCAGTTGAATCATTCACAGTCTCTGACGCTACACAAAATAAGGCCAGTGCCGTTCCAGTCACAATGTGTTATCATAATAACCTTCAGCGGCGGGTGACGTGTTTCTGTGCCTGCAGTGACTGTAAATGACAGAATAGGCGGAAGAAATAGTAGCCTGCCAAAATCTTATTAACAGTAGAAGTTAAATCTTACTGTAGTCTTCAAATCTGGGTACTGTCTTACGTTTTAAAATCACAAAGGGAGTTTGGTCCCATCATGCTAACGTGACAGTCAGGATTCATGCAGCTGTAAGGTTTTCTTTTTCTTTTGTTTTTACTGGCGATCTTTCCAACACGCATTACATTACGTATTTCATGGCACACTCGTTTTATGCGTATTTGGCGCCACCTATGGTTGTGGGTGTATTATTGTCATGTCAAAGTCTAGACCCTGAATATAAGACGACCGCGGTTTTTCAGATGTATTTCCAAGAAAAAAACATCGTCTTATATTCGGGTCAATACGGTATTATCATTAACTAAAACGAAATCTGAAACCTTAAAAAATATATTCTTGAAATAACCGTTAACTGAAATATAAGAAGGTTAAACATTTTATTTCAGCTAGTAGCATTTTTCATTTTCATTTAAATGAACTAATACTAAAACCGAAATAAGTATTAATAAAAACTTATATAGAAATGCTAAAATTTATAAAAAGTGTCAAATGGAGAATATTAAAAACTAATTCAAATTATTAATAAACACTATATATTTTAAATAAAAAAGACAAAAATGACAAATCAACAAATTTACTAAAACTTTAAAATGAAAATATAAAAATAAAAACTAATTTTAAAATATTAGTAAAAAACTATAGTAGTATATCAAGGACACCAACATAGCACTGGATGGTTCACGTTTTAATGCAGTCAGAGGTAATGTGAACGAGGGATGAGCGAGTCTTTTGTATGTTGTGACCATGTGACTAATCTTCTTATCCTGATGTGTTCTCCAGCTGCTGGCTCTCTCTCGATCGTTATTTCATCTTGAGCTTCTTCGTGCCCGTCTGCATCGTCATGATCCTCAATAGTTTTTTCTTCATCATCACGGTGTGGAAACTGGCCCAAAAGTTCTCCAGCCTCAATCCAGACCTCTCCAATCTCAACAAGATCAGGTCTGAGTGTGTTTTGATCCCCAAATAGATTCAATCAGTCTTGATTTTTGTGCATCAGTGGTTTTGATGAATTATATTTGGTGTGTAGGAGTTTCACGGTGACCGCCGTGGCTCAGTTGTGTATTCTCGGAGGAACGTGGATCTTCGGCTTCTTGCTCTTCCAGGAGGAAGGGACTGAAGTCATGTTGTACCTCTTCACGATTTTAAACAGCCTGCAGGGGGCGTTCATCTTCATCATGCACTGCCTGCTGTCCAAACCGGTACCTAAAACACAACATGACTCAGAAACCACACGGTGACATGACTCACTCGCTGAACGTTTGCTAACAGTGGTTTGTTTTAGACTTAACATCTCGCAGGATTTCAGTGGTTTAAAGTAGTTCACTTAACAATAAATATTTAGATATTGATTAGTCACACTTTTCAGACCACAAAAGGAGAATTTTACTCGTGGTTGTCCATATAATGGCTGGCAGTTGATGAGCTTCTTCAAGCTTTAAGAAAAAGAATGCAGAAGTATCACAGAATGATCCCATGTGATTTATGCCATATATACCAAGCATTCTGAATTAGAGGTTTACCGATATTTGCCGTTTTTAAATTATCGGCGTTGACCGATAAGATTTTCAGTTTGGCCGCTAAGTGTCACAAGCAGCTTTTATTTAGACATCGACGGGACATATTTATATTGACAGCACTAAGAAAGGCAGCATCTGAGCACGGATGCAAGCATAATCTTTAAATCCTAGATTTCAAACCGTGCTGCGCTATATCCAGTTTGCCACCATGTTATATTCATGTCATATTCACTCTACTTTATGCATTCGCAGTGCTCGAATTTTTGTTTCCACCAGATTACTGTGTGAACTGTTGGTTACAGCATTTACTTCCTTTTTATTCATGATTTAAATGATTTCTTTATTTGTGAAAAATACTATGTTAGGATTATTATCGGTTTATTTTTTTGTCCAGTTCTAATGATTAATTTGAATAATTTTACAATCTAATACAATCTTTTTACAATCAAATTTACAAAATGTATAAAAATGTGAATTTCTTTCTTACATTGTTAGCATGTTATTTAAATAGTGTAACATCATGTATATCATATTTTTATCGTCCACCCTGCGTTTCTATGTCAGTTATGGTTGCTTCTGGGTGAGTGGATTCTCCGCAGGTTTCTCGTCTCCGCTCTATTGCTATGAGACTCGTCAGGATTGTAGCGCGTTCTCAGTGGTTTGCTGGCATTTCATTCGAGAAGTAGCCTGTCCGCGAAGCGCACACCCAAGCGTGGAAATGCGCTGTTGCTGCCAGTTCTCATTTGCTGAAAATTGCATTGTTTCATGCTAAACTAATTAGACTAAATCAAATGAAAAGAAAAAAAACCAAAATACCGTAGCTGTATATTTTCATGCTTTCTCAAGCAAAGCAAATTTTAAAAGTCCACTGAAAACACATTTTTGGTCATAGATATACGATATACGTTGAAGATATACGTTATTGTCAACATGCCTAAGTGATGCCTTAAAAAAAAATATATATAAAAATGTATATATAATTAGATAAACATCGGAAAAAAGAGGACGCAAAATCTACAGAACATTTTAAAAACATTCTGAAGATTTTATTTTTAGGATACCTTTGATTTCCGTGTATGCTTGTGTTGCTTACAGTTAAAGTCGTTCTCTGATTTCATTGTTGTTTGCAACGTTACTTGGCAATATTTTAAAGATATTATAATTTTTTGGTATTTTGCATGGTCTGTTATTGGAATAGTGTCACCCGGGTGGGAGTTTTAACTCCTATTCACTGGGAATAATAAAAATAATTCAGTCTATGCAGAGACATATTAAAAAATGTATTGTCACCTACTAGTCTGAATGCATATGATAGGAATTGGCCAGAAACACCTGTAATTTGTTATTTAGTCAAATATCATTTAGTTTGCCTGTTGTGTCGCCCCCTTCAGGTCAGGACGGAGTATTACCATCTGTTTGGCCGAATGTGTCCACACAAGAAGAAAGTGGAATACAGTAGCAGCAACAGTCAGGTACGTTAGCGTGTGTGTTTGAGTGTTTCGGACATTAAAGCAGCGTTTGTGGGTTCAGCTTCTTCATTCTTCCTTTGTCTTTTACAGAAACCTCTACGGAGCGACGGCAGCACAGGAGAGTCGCAGATATAAAGCACTTGTCATATCCTGATTTTACAAACTTTTGAACGCTTTCTGTGAAAATTAAGATTTTTTAACAGGGGGTCGTCAATTCGTCCTCATTATTCCTGTCCAATCAGAAGATCTGAAAACTGCTTTCCATTAGTAAGAATACTGATATGGAATCATCATATCTGCTTCACATCGTTTTACAGTTATAGGCCTGTCATCTGAACAGCTAAAGTGGGTCACACCACTAAATGAACAAAATAATTAGAGTGCTTTGGCTTTATTTTGCTGTCTGTTGTGCAAGTAGAAAATCTTACATTTTAGATTATGCAAAAGGCTCTTCTATAAAATACGTTTTATTGTGTTGAGGGCTATCTTGAGTTTGATTATGTCACAAAAACTTACAAATCTGTAAAAAAAAAAATTATAGAAGTATGATAAATGAAAGTAAATCTGTAGTTTCGTTTTAAACAGTTGTGATGGCTTTAAAATACATAAATGATCTCATCAGAAAGGCTGTTATTGTAAAACTTGATAAAGATGTATGATGTTTGTATACTAATATTTCCTGAATTTATTTTGTTATTAAAATGTATATTTAAAAAAAAATCAAATTTTCCTGTAATTATGCTGATAATCAAACCAAAAACATCTTTACTGAGGAACGGTGTTGATTTTTTATATTTTTTTGGCCTAAATATTTCTAGTCCGTTTTTCTCTTGCTTTTGTCCATTAACTGTAACAACCAACAGATACATATATGATATCAATTAGTAACTGACATTAATAATTTAATTAATTATTAAGATCTGGTATTATTCTTAAATGACTTGAAGATTACAGTTTTTAAACTGTTTATTTGTGCATTCATTCATTCTCTCTGTAATTATATATTTACATTGACGAATATCATGAGTGGAAGCGAGTGAAGAAAGTGCTGGGATTTCTTCTCACACTGCCCTGTTGAAAAAACCAGCATATGCTAGTTAGGTATGTTTTGACGCTGGGATGCTAGTTTAAGATGGTCTTTTGCTGGTTTATGCTGGTCCTTTGCCAGCACATGACCAGCATAAACCAGCAAAAGGACCAGCATAAACCAGCAAAGGACCAGCATAAACCAGCAAAAGGACCAGCATAAACCAGCAAAGGACCAGCATAAACCAGCAAAGGACCAGCTTAAACCAGCA